CTATAGTAACAATTCAAACTTTAAAAAAAATTATTTCAGTAACCAATTTAGGAGCCTCCCACTACATCATTGCATCTACCTTAGACGAACCAACTGCTATACAACTACTAGAGATTACATGATCAAGGAAACTCACTTCTCGTAACCAGACACATATTTGGACAACTTGGCATACAACTTCTTCTCTTGCAAAGTCTGTAACACAACTCTAAGATGTCCAGCATGCTCTTCAACTGATTTAGATTAGACCAAAATATCAGCAATGAACACCACAACAAACTGATCCACGTAAGGATGAAAGATCTTATTCATATACTCCATGAACACTCCTGGTGCATTAGGCACACTGAACAGCATCACTGAGTACTCATAATGATCGTGTCGAGTTTTAAACGTATTCTTCAGTATATCTTTTAGCTTCACTCGAATCTGATGATACTCTGATATTAAGTCAATGTTACTAAACACGCAAGTCCCAACCAACTAATCTATAAGGTCGTCAATATTAGGAAGAGGACACTTGTTCTTAATAGTAACTTCATTCAGTTGTTGATAATATTTATGTAACCTCGTGCTACCATCTTTTTTCTTAACCAACAACATTGTTTCTCCCCACGAAGATACACTAGGCTTGACAAACTTCTTTTCCAACAGTTCTTATAACTGCTTCTTCAACTCACTCAGCTCTGACGCAAACATCCTATACAATATCATTGACACGAGTTTATTAACAAGTACTAAATATATGGCAAAATCAACTTCTCATTGTGGTGGTAAACCACTAATGTTATTTGAGAACATATATGGAAACTCACACATCATTGGAAGATCAATATCATAGCTTTGCCTTCCACTCTCAAGAAGGGGAACATCATAAACACTTGATCACACACACGCTCTCTCTCCCTCTCTCTCTCTCTCTTTCTCTCTCTCTCTCTCTCTCTCTCTCTCTCTCTCTCTCTCTCTCTCTCTCTCTCTCTCTCTCTCTCTCTCTCTCTCTCTCTCTCTCTCTCTCAAGGACATCTATACCTGTATGGCAGACATTAATCTCGATTCCTACTCTCTTAAGACTCAAGAAACAACATTGTCTTGTCAAAATAGTTGATATAGACATGGTTAAATTCTAACAAGTTCATTCCCAAAATAACATTAACATGACTCAAAGGCAAAGAGATTACGTAAACCCCAATATCCTTATCATAACTAGTTAAAATAAATTCAAACAAGCCAG